GATGTGACACATTATGATTGGTGCCACAACTATCACACATCATGTTGTGGCACCAATCATAATGTGCCACATCATGTTGTGGCACCATAATATGGTGCCATAGAATTATGTAATACCAAACCTAACTCCAGAGCAAAAATCATATAAAAACGTCACAAAATATAGATTTTCGCCATGTCAGCATCTGAAGCGTGAGAATTTGCCACTTAGGCTCAACACATTTTGAATTAATGTATAGGGGAGGATGTCGGGAACCAAAACAATGAATTGGACCGATTTGAAATGATCCGGTTTGATTAATGATTCAAGTGTTATGGTTTTTTAGTAGGGTTATTTTCTCTTCCTTTTAGTGTTATATTTTATTTTATTTTTTATGGATCCATCTAAAAGCCAAAAATAGAATAAATATAATTATAAATGAGAGAGTCTTGTGCATAGAGGATTTGTTTTCATTTATTGAATGTATAAAGAAATTGAGTGTAGAAATTAGAAAGTTAAGTGTATAAAGAAGTCATTCTTTCTATATTTGTAGATTTATTTGGTTTTTATTCATTAGATGAATATATAAATATAAAAATATAATTACAATGCAATCGATGTTGAAATATTATAAGAAAATCAAATTAAAAATTTATGTAATTTTACATAATATTTGCTTTAGATTTATATAATTTTATAATTGTGATTACAAAATTATCATTCTGAAAATTGAATGTAAAACACGAATATTATTTTTAAATTACATTGAACCAATTATCTCTGTTTATATATATATATATATACTAGTTTGTTCACGGCTGTGCACAACACAGCCGGGCCCAAATCGAAATCTAAATTTGTTTTAATTAAGAATTACGTGAGTACTTTATAAGTTGGAATTGTTTGTATATAACTGAAAGAATAAAAGAGATTCCTATATGCATTCGTGGAATTTTTAGTGCGCGTGAGGACAAAAATTTCGAAATTGTCAATCTAATGAATTAGAAAAGATTCTAAAATGCAAAGTAATTATAAAAATTGACTATGTTCACAGATGTAATATAATTTTAGAAAGAGCATCGATTTTTTTCTCACCGATGAAAGTAAAGCAACTTGTAAGTAATCATTTTGAATGTGAACTTGTAAGTATACCAATCTGACATTGCCATTGCCATTTAAAAGATCCTTTGTAGGCCCCAGTTTGATGCACTTTTCTTTTTTATGCGTTACAAATGATATTAACTTAATAGGTGGCATCACAAATTCTAAGGGCTTGATTGTAGTGTATATCAAATAATTTATTCACTTTTATTTCAACTCAAAATCTAAATCAACTTTAACTCAATCCACTATCTTTAATATTATTTATATAATTAAATAATACAAACCAATCATTCTTATACATCACATCAACTTTAATTCACTATTCATCCGCTCACATAATTTTAACTACCTATCATTTCCAATCATACATCTTTTTCTTTTACATCAAATCAATTCTAATCATTCTATTTTTAATATTATTTTAATACATTCTTAAAATTTCACTAACAACTAACCATACCACTTTTTTCAAAATTAACTATGGTTAACCAAAATAACTCATTTTGAACAAATTATTTCATAAACAATCAAGCCCTAAGTTACTTTATGATTTTTGTTTTATTAGATACGAGAGCTCCATAAAGGCATTGGAGTTGCTCCCATGAAAAGAAAAAATGTTTTGATACTCATTCGACTTTAAATACAATCAGAATTATAGATCCATACAAAAAAATATTATGTATAAGAAATAAGCAGTTATCAAACGTACTCACTCAATGTGACTTCTTTTCATCGTCAACACAAAAACCAAACGATGTTAGTGGCCTATTAGTCAGAAAATAAAAGTTACACATATTGTATATTTTTTAATGAATAAAGGAATACTAACTATGAATTAAGTTACAAAAACTATTTAGCATCCTCATTGTGAATTCGTAGGTGCAATTTCTCTTACACATTTCATTCACTTCTACAATCACAATTATCTCACTCGTTGGCCAATTATGCAGCTCAACTCCTTAACGTACAAAACTTGCTAGTCTTCTCTTCCTTCCTAAGATCAAGCTATAGTTTAAAAATCAATGCTGGTGAGACCATAAACAGACAAAATCTAAATAGAAGTGAATCTAAACACACCTAATTTTAAAATGAGAATGCCATATTCGGTGTCTAAAATGGAAGTTCATAAGCATGCATTGAATAAAAGATCATAGCAGCACATCAGATTTCAATATGCAGAAAAGAACATAAAATTGTATGTTTCTGAATTCACAAAGTTACGTTGAATTTATAGGCTAATCACACACCAAAAATAAATAAATTAAAAAAAAAATGTTGTGTGTTAAAAGTTAGAACTGCAAACACAACCTTGAAACTTTTATTTACGTCAAAGATACAACCCTCTCGAATCCTTGGGCTGCATTTTTAAATACATAAACAATACCCTCTTGAATCCTAAGGCTAGATTTAACAATGGTTTGTGGGTATAATTAATCAAGTCGTTATTAGTGTCATGGAATTTCCATCAATACTATTTTGGACAACTTTCACGGAAACTCTTGCAGCAATAGCTACTCTATTTATCGTTGTCACTGTTGTTCACTTGTTCATCCACCCGACAAAACTGGATAGCATTTTCAATTGTTCTTCAAGGTGCTTGCACAAAGACAAAATTTGCGAAAAACTTGAGAAAGGTTTTTCTAACAATATAAAATCAATTGAATTAGGAAAAAACACATATGAATCCTCGAGGTTTAGGCCATTTAATATATTAAATAGACTTCCAACATTAGATTACTAAAGCTCGGAGGTTATAAAAGGTAACCCTAGGAAAAAAATTACCAATTACAAATCAAAATACTAACACCTGTTTGTTATAAATTTCACAAGGGGTAGTATTTTTACATTAAAATTGCCAGACTTGAGGTAATTGTATGCAATTTCAAAAGATAATTCAATTGTTTACCTAATTAGGCAAACCACATGGCAATTTGACAAGTAAATCAAAAAATTAGTGAATTCAGAGAACGACATCAGTGAGTGGGCAAAGACGGGTCTTGATATTGTCGTTGTCCCATTGAACACATCTCGTCTCACCATTCGGAAAAGAATGCATGCCAGAACATTTCATGCATACCTCATGCCATGAACCCTCATAAAAATGACCATTAGTGAAATAGTAGACATCAAAACTACGATTTTTATCCCCCAATGCATCCTTCATGCCATGAACACCTAATAAAAATGACCATTAGTGAAATAGTAGACACCAAAACTATGATTTTTATCCCCAAAATACTTGCCACATATTGATCTCCATTTCTAACAAAATTATCAAATAGCACCAGTCTACATAACTTTTTTTTTCCAGTTATTCTTCGGCAGAAGTTTTAAATATTAGGGAGTGTAAGACCACAATACATACTTTATATGTGTATTCAGAATAAGATTTGTATGGTGGCCAAAATCCCATGACAATTGTAAGCAAGTCATATCTAAAGTTTTTGGCTCTTTAGATTTAGATTTAGAGAATATTCAGTAGACCATGTCATGTATAGTTTTAGTTTCACAAGATTTTGCACATCAGTAAAAAGTAGCTGAAATATATAATAACTTTCCCTAACACATTGACCTAATTTTTAGAAATCATGTTAATTCGTAAATTAGATAATTCACAATTATCTCCTATCTCAAAAAATATAGAAGATTAAACAACTTAACTCAACCAAACTTCAGAAAATCCAATCCACTACCCTAAGGGGGTTTATCATCTTACAATCTACACACACACTGATGTTGGTGTGTGTGTGACACAAAACTTCAACATTGTAAATTTTAAATCTTCCAAGGTACAAATTTTTAGACTGTAAATGTAACTCAATGAGTCAACTCAGCTGTATTCACGCACATATCTGATCGACCAAACCGAATCATACACACAGATAAAATAAGTAAAAGAAAAAAAAATACATAAATTAACTACAAACAACCAACATTCTCACACAAATACTAATTGATCACATAACAAACAGGGATAAGAAAAAAGAAAAAAAAAAGTTTCGGATCAAAATTACTCACCTAAGATGATAACAACAATAACCATGTTTCACCCCACACTTGAACTCCACAATGTAACAGCTTTCATGAGCACAAGCCTGCACCCCAACACCATGGCTCTGACCATTGCGTCACTCATGGAATTATTCTCTGGAACAGCTTTGGAAATGTTCGTAGCAAACAGAATAATTGGCTTTCCTGTGATTGATGATGAATGGAAGTTGGTAAGTTTTCCATCTCTCTGTGTCCATGTGGTGTGTGTGTGTGTGTGTGTACGAGAATAAATAAATTAAACAGAAAAACTCTTAGGGATTGACCATCAATAAAGATAATTTGGTCAAAAGGACCATGAAATAGAAATAAATAACCCTTCAACAACAATTTTGGTGGGCTTGGCAACACGCAAATCCTTTTTCTTCGTCAAAAAATAGCCTACGGTGAATACCCCATTGTTTGGTTTTCCAGAAAATCATGAAATAATAAGAAAAGAAAACCTTCCGAGTCAAAAAAAGAAAATAAAGGATAAGGAAACATTACAGAAGCAGAGTCGGCAAGTAGCCCGAGGCCACGGCGAGCCCCAGGCCCTAAATTTGGTATGACGCATAAAGAAAGCTGGAGACAGAGCGTGTATTCAGGCTGGGCTACGGGCGTTTTCGTCCTCCGCGGTGCTGGAAAACGAACAAAACCCCTCCGCCCCGGATACCGTGAGGAAGAATTCTGTTTGCCGCAAGCCGTCGGATTCCCTGTGTCTCCTTGCCGTTACGATGTGGTGGTGGTTTTTAACGGCGCTGTCCGTCCTTCCGCATGGAACAACTCGTGATTAGTGCCCATCTGTTGCCGTAAAGATTGTGCGCCGCCAGGAGACTCTCCTCCTCCTCACCAAATGGCTGCCATTTGATTTTCGGTTCGGTTAAACCACCTCAACCTGCAACTTTTCCCTAAATCAAAATAAAAAGCAAAATTGATAAACATGAGACTGAAATTTTGAAATAAACCCAAATAATTACTCCAATTTCTCCCACAAAAATATCTAAATCAAAAAAATAAAAAACAAATCAGAGCTTAATACCTGATCGTCCATGGAGTTTATCGGCGATCTGATAGATTTCATGAATTTTTCTTCACAATTCTTTACCTGAAAATTAAGATAAATGAGACGTCCTAATGATACTAAAGTTCACATTCTTCCTGAAAATTATATTTTCCATCAATTTAAAATAAAAAATATAAATTATTTACAACCGATTAGAAACCTTTACCTATTTGCAAAAATCAAAATTCGATGGATATGCAAATTAGCAAGTCTAGAAATTTGTATATTTAATATTTAGGAGATGTAATGGTTCTTTTATCTTATCTTAATTATTCAATATCAATAAATTTTCACAATTCCACCGAAACTAAATCATCAATAGTAAGATGCACAACAGTAAATCACACCAATGATATTTTGCACAATGAAGCAAAGATCAGTTATTTATTAAGCAATTCAGGCAGTCAAGCCAACGAATTGCTAGAAAACACCATTATGTTCCATATCAGCACCAAGAAAGGGGCATATTAGTGCTCCCTTTTTCTTGATAAAGAGAAAAAAAGTCACATAGGTATAAATTATAACGTGCAAATGATGCAACATAACTAAACCCAACCACATATAACATAGAACAATTTGCACTAACCTCAAGGCCAAAGCAGACAAGTAATTCTGACTGAGGTTGTTGCCCTTTGGGTGCATGGCCTTTACAATCCTCAAAAAGTGCATAACCGGCGCAAGCATATCTGAACTGTGTAAGGTTCCTACCCTCTTTCGATGCTTCAGCCAGATTGTCCAACAATATATGAAGGCACTAATCACCAAACATAAGAATTATAATATACCCCTAATATTATCCTAGTAAGTGCAACTTTCATAACTTAGCCACATAAAAACAGAAACAATCATGAAATACCGTGTGTGCATAACAGGGACATACAACACAATCACAATGTGTAAATCATATATAGTTTTTATAATAATTCTATGCTCTATTTTTTTATGCATTTATGATATCAAAACCAAAGCTTTCAATAATATTTTAAAACAAAACATATTATTGCCTCCAAGCATTGCACTATTCGTTCTGTCTTTAAATGTAAGTAAAATGTCCAAGGATCGAAAATTTGTGAATGACAATCTGCACATACATATAATTTACTGAACACAATTTGAGGTCTCCATATTTAACAAGCAATTGGTGACCAAAGGGGAAGTAGGAAATTAATAAGTAGGTTAGGTACCTTTAAGAAATTCAAGAAAAGGGTACCTTCCAACTTCTCAATTTTGTTTAAATTGCATAAAGAAAAGGCGAATATTCCACCACAAGCTCAAAGTTGTAATTTTTTTTTTTCTATAGGTGAAACTTCAAGCTACATGAAAACACAACATCCAGGCAATTATATAGACAATGTATACAAATGAAAAAAGAAAGAAAGAAAATGAATGAGAAATCATTGAGTTACAAATCCAATTGAGTATTAAATACAAAAACACAACAAAACAAAATTGAACAAATAAATAGGATACCACTGAAAGGGTCAGGCCAACACGGAGAGGGTTTTGAGCATTGGCTTTGAAACGCGAAGAATAATAAAAGCATCTCTTGCAAGATTTCGCCTTGCTCCCAATTTCACTACCAGTAGCTTCTGCGAAGTTCGTACTCTTCGTTGGTGACGAATGGCTCACTCTTCCATTGCTTTGGTTCACATGATTTCACTCGTCCGGTTTTGTATTGATATCAGTCGGTACTGATTTCGTGAATGGAGAATCAGCCATTCGGGCGTGTGAGCTTAATGGGGGTGTTGGGAATGAGGAGATTGTTCCCGAGACTCGACAAAATTGGCCAGAAGCAAAGCACTGGTGAGGTTATAGTTCAACTATTTGTAGCTCGAGAACAAAAGTATAAAACCAATTTTCACCAAATATCAAAAATTCGATATCCACGACCAAAATACTCACAACTCGAACCAAACCGTATCACTCATAGTATTTGAGAATAAAACAGATAGAAAAAAAAAAATAATCAAAAAACATGTGTTGGAAGTTGAAGAGGAAAGAAAGTGAATGCAAAGAGAAATTTGGGTATTAGGGTTTACCGAAGATCGACTGTTCCAGGGCGGTAACGACGGGGCTTCTTGACCCCGCTGGTGCTCGGGACGACTTCCTAACGCCTTCACAATAATAAATGAAACACAAATCAAAAAGGGATCAAACTAAAGCAATATCTAATGGATGCACTGAAACACAACAGATCAAACAAAAATTGGATGAACGAAGAGAGAGAAAGAGAGAGAGAGAGAGAGAGAGAGAGAGAGAGAGAGAGAGAGAGAGAAAACATAACACGTCTGACTAAATCTACTGACCTTCTTGGCGAGCTGATTCCTCGGAGCTTTTCCACCGGTGGATTGTTTTTTTCCCAGTCATAGGCATGGGTTATGTCGTAGCAGCCGCTGTAGGGGATGGGTTGTACGACGTTTGGAGCATTCGCGAGATGTTTGGGGACCATAGGAGGTCTTCTCCTTCGAGAAATCATCTCTAGAACCTACATGTGCTCGCTCTGGGAAGTCGGATTTAGGTTCGCAAGGATTTGAGAGGAGCTGGAGAGAGAAAAATCTCTGTCATTTTTGCGTCTCCGCGAAAAAGTGGCGTGTGACAGAAAGCAATGTCATGAGACAATGACCGACACCAAAAAGTTGAGTGAGAGAAGGATAAATTAGTAAATCGAATTCAATATACACAATCAATCAAAATTCTTAAAAAACGTTGGGTTCCAGCTCTCTCAAAAAAGGCCACACGACGTCGTTTAGTCTCAAATGGAGAGCAAACAAAGTAGCCACGTGTCGGCATACAAAGGGGTAATGTTGTTTTCTTATAAGATAGAGGTAGATATATTTCTTTTTATCATTGTACAATAATCATATAAATTAATATATATTTTATAAAGATAATTTATTATACATCCGGATGGTACACTTTTATTTTAGTTTGTCTTTGTGATCGAGCATCAACACTGATTTTGAGAAGAGAGTAAGTAGGCTAAAGTGGGTCGGATCGGCCCATTACAAAAAGCAGGCCCAATTAAGAGAGCTAAGCTCAATTAAAAGATTCAGTTCATCATGCATAGGGGTGGGCGCGGTCCGGGATGGTCCGGGATTTGACCTATCCCGGTACTTGTCTCGGTTTTTTGAACTGGTTCAGGACGATACCCGTTCCAAACGGATCGGTATCAATCGGGACCGGAACAAAACAGTTAGAGACTGGGACAAAATGGGAAAAAAAATGTTCAAACTTCAAACAAATTATTCACTTTTTCACTTTTAAAAAAACTTTGATTCAAAGCACTCTGCATTAAGAAAAAAAGGTACTGATAGTAAATTAAACATTTAACATTGTTTTGAACATTGCGATATGGAAATGGAGAAGAAAATGAACGGGAATTGGGAAATGATAGTATTGTTGTCTGCTTGTGCACGTAAGTAAATATTAAATGGGCCAACTGTATTGGGCTTTCAGTTATAAAAATCATAGCCTGTTAAGATTGAATATTTGAATTAAAACAAGAGTAATGCTATGTGTACATAATAAATATACATAGACTTGTACATAACACTCACATGTAGTGGGGTACATTTAATTTTTAATTTTGGGTGGGTCCCACTCAATGTGAGTGTTATGTACACCCCTATGTACAATATTATGTACATATAGCATTATTCTTAAAATAGATACCTAAATCCAAGCATGTACTGTTAATACTAACATAAATATTAAATGTAATATATATATATATATATATATATAATTTTTTTGTACAAAAAAAATAAAATGGGACAAACGGGACGGTTCGGGAAAAAAATTATAAAAACCGATACCGACAATGTTTCAACCGGTTCGATACCGAAATCGGTATGAAAAGTTTAAAAACCGATTGGAACCCTTTTGTTTTGGAACGAGATCATTTCCGTTCGGTTCTGGATCGGAAAATCCAGTTTTTTTCCCACCCCTAATCATGCATCCCTCTCCATTAATTAATGTTAATCCCTAATCATGTGCCACGTTCACTTAACCCCTTTGTTTTGGAACGAGATCATTAATGTTAATCCCTCTCCAGTTCACATGTTCAGACTTTGTGGGTTTTATTTTAATTAGCATGGCTGGATATTGTG